GGCTTGCCTAAGAAGGCCCACCACTTCATATTGTATCTCTTGTGGTTTGCACTAAATGTTTTCAGCATGTTTCTGGCTGAGGCTGTCTTGTTTTAGTACATCGGCTTCATGTTCTAAGAACATTGGTTCTGTTTTAAGAACATACTCTTCTGATAAGAACACTTCGTGGTAGGCCTATAGGAATGACGGGATGGTTTGTCTGTCCCTGCTCAATGATCGGGGGTTGTTGAAGGTGCCCCTGGCCCAAGGTACCACCAGCAGGTTCTTTCCATTTTGGAGACCCGGGGCTCCCCTGGACATCGTGAGGGTTGCGCTGGTGGCCGTGGGGGCCTCCCTAGCAACACCCGACCTGAGCCGGTCCCCCCGCCTAAGGTTGCCCCTCATCCCCGCTGGGCTATACAGTAGCTCAGCACCACCAGCCGACCAACCTCAGGTTGGGGATAGGCTTAAGTCGGGCATGTCCCTCTACAGGAGGTAGATTCAAGAACATTTCAAACATAGTCTGGTGACGATTAGTCTAGTATTTTTGTTGATTACTTTCAGGTCTTGCTTGACTATTTTCTGTTTCTCTTCCAAACTCCGCCAGTAGGAGGACATGCCCGACCGAAGGACAGGCCCCGCGGCACCTGGAGGGAACTGCACAGATACCCACCTCGCGGGGCAGAGTCGGCCAGTGGGGCCCAGGCCTGGATCGCTCAACATAGCCCGAGATAGGTCAAGATAGCCTCCGACATGCCTCCAAGAGGCCACAAGAACGCTCCAAGACAGCCTCGAGTGGCCACGGGGGTTCCCAGGGATGCCCCAGAGAGGCCAAAGTCCACCCAAAACCTTGGGTTTGGGCCATCTCGTGCGCCGATTCGTTCTTCGTTTTTGTTGCCGCATTCGCTGCGCAGCGAAGGCAGAACGAGGCAGGGCGAAAGCCGAAGCGAAGACGAACGTCGCCGTTTTGTCTTGTCACGAGTGTCATCCTTGTCTTGTTCGTGTTGCAGGCGCCTGTGTTGCTCTGTCTTCGCTGCATGTAGCACTGTTGCCAGGCAATCAACCCGACGAGGGGCGACCCACGCAAATAAAAAAACGACGCCGTGTAGGGTCAGCCCCGGCAGGGGCCCGTCGCCGTGCCGGCGGGGCCGGGGAGCGGCGCAGCCGCGGCTCCAGTGGAGGGGGGCGTCCTGCGCCGACCCCCCGAGAGATCCGACGTCGCGAACACATCGGAGCGCCGTGACAGATCACGTCCATGATCGCGCGCTTTTTTTGCAATGCAAATTTCAAAAATACATGAAATATATAAGACTATCCAAAGCATTTTAATCAAAATATCTATAGATACAATTATTCAGGCAAGGTTACTTGCATGGCGGTCGCCCCCCCCAGCCCCGCCCCCCCTCCCCCCCTCGGTTTTTTTTGGGGGGGGGTAACAAAAGCGAATACAAGCGTGCACGTGCCTTTCGGCTGGCGTGATTTCGGCACGTGCAAGTCGTTCACGGTTTGCTTCAGGTTCAGGCCCACCCCCTTCCATGCAAGGTGAATTGCCGGGGTCTAAACAGGCTCTGGTAATAGGGGGGTGTCCCAAACGGGGGATGAAGAAAGGGTCCCCTTTCGGAGCCAGTCAGTGCCCAAAAGGGGTCCTACAAGGCCCCTGTAGGGCCTTCTTCTTCACCCCCCATGTGGGTTACCGCCCGCCCGACAGAACCCTGGATCACATCTTCCTGCTTCACATCTCGAGCTCGAGCCGAGGCTGGAGGCCTGCCGAGATGCATCGATACCGCCCGAAGGCCTCGAGATCCCCGGAGGCCCGCGCAGGCCGTCGAAGGCTCGTGCTCGTGCGTGCCTCTTATTGGCTGTTGTTTACCTTTGGGCCAGAACGCACGTTGTGCCCCCTCCCTTCCCCCCCTCCATAACGTAGCGCCCCCCTTTCCCCCCCCCTCAGGGCGTCCCCAGCACTGCCGCAGTGCGTCCAGCTCCACAGTCTGGGAGGTGAGGGGGCGCTACGTTCTGCCCCCTCCCGTCTCCCCCTCCGCCCCCTGCAGCCAGCGCGGCCGGCAACAGGGGGAAAGCCGAGACGCAGCAAGGAAGAAAAGCAGATAAGTGTTCCTTCCAAGCAGGTACGCGCTCCTCCCGCTCCTCTTCTTCGTTTTCTTATTCTTCGTATTATTATCCTGCTTCTTCTTCTTCCTCCTTCTCCTCCTCCTTCTTCTCCACATAACGCCCGTCGTGGCCGCGACGAAAAAATGCGCCCCTGCATCCCCCGAGGCGGAGGGGCTCTGCCGGCGCGTGGTCGAAGCCTCGGAGCGGGCGGCGGGGCCGGCGCACCCCCGGACCCTGGCCGCGGTGGGCAGCCTGGCGGCGCTGCTGAGCGGGTGCGGGAGGCTCCAGGACCCGCTCTTGCTGCTGCTGCTGCTCCTCCTGCTGCTCCTCCTGCTCCTCCTCCTGCTCCTCCTCCTCCTCCTCCTCCTCCTCCTTCTCCTCCTCCTCCTTTTGCTCCTCCTGCTCCTTCTCCTCCTTCTCCTCCTGCTCCTCCTGCTCCTCCTGCTTCTCCTGCTCCTCCTCCTCCTCGTCCTCCACCTCCTGCTCCTCCTCCTCCTCTTCCTCCTTCTCCTACGCCTCCTCCTGCTCCTCCAACTGCTCCTCCTCCTGCTCCTCCTCCTCCTCCTCCTCCTCCCCATCTTGGGGGGACCTCGCCTTGTGATGTTCCAACCTGCTTTTAGCCTTCACCACCCCGAATAATGTCGAGCACCAGGAGACAGAAGAGTACCGAACCTTGGAGGGGGGTTACGTGTCGGGCCCCGGAGGGCGATATTCGTTCGACGTTTTGCTAGCGTGTCGGGCAGACACTGTCACGATACTTCTTCTGGGTGCTCGAAATTGTGTCTGGGATGTGGTTCTTAATCACGCTGGGAGCATCATAACCCTCGTCTGTCCCCCAAAGTATTATCTTTTCAAGTGCCCAGCGCGGATCGATGCGGACTCGACGCGTGGATTCGACGCAGAGTCGTGGAGTCGACGCGGGTTCGACGAGTCCGACATGGATTCGACACGCATTCGACGCAGATAGGGGCGCCACGGGACAGACAAGGTCTCCCGATGATGCAACACAAAGACAGGGGGAACGTAAGACTCGAGCTCGTCGGATCTTGAGGTTGCCGATGCTCCTTTCGGTTGCGAGCGGTCGAAGAAGAATGACTTGCATAAGCACAAACTTTTGGCGCTTCACGCGGATTTCTTGGATCGGCGCTGGGCCTCCCTGGCGGCGCCTCCAGCGCCGCCCCTTGCGCGCGGAGCGCGCCAGGGAGAGGGGGCCCAGCGCAGATCCCAGAACTTCGGCGGACCGGCGAAGGTTTATGTTCATGCCGTTTTTGCCCTTCTAGGGGTTTCGGATGCTCCTTTCGGCTGCGAGTGAGGGGGGAACATGAGAATGAGAAGGCCTTCTCTTGAGGCGGCGGGGCTTCTCAGAACCCCTCCGGCCTTCGGAGAGGTTCTCCGTGCCTTCAATCAGAAGGCCGGATGACTTCCGAGCCTTCTGAGAAGGCCCGCCCCCCCTCACTTCCCCCCCTTCGCTGGCCGCCGATGTTGGGCGGTCCCGTCCGGGATTTTGACGGTCCAGTTTTCGTGGGATGTCTGTGGGCTCCTTGCAAAAGGGGCGTTAGGAAACGGGCTAGAAGCCAAGGCCAAGGGTGCATTTTCAATGACGCTTTCAAACAATTCATTTGCCGCGCGCAAGTGCGAGGTACCCCCCCGGCACAGAGTTTTGATGATGTATCGACGTTTTTTCTGTCGTTCCGGTTTATCACGCACCAGTGCAAGGTAAACGCCCTGCCACCCCGTTCACGCTTGAAGAGGCCCCTGAGCTACCACCCCGCTTAATTTCTAACACCCCGTTTGCGGGGGCTTGGGTCTGCGGCGGGAGTTCGCGCCAGAGTTCAGCCTGGGCCTCCTCATTCTCCTGACGGCTCCGTCGGGCTGGCCCTCGGAGGGCGACAGCTGCACACCCACACCGATCCTATAGCCAGGCCCCCTGGGCCCTGGATCGGGGTATATAGTTTTTAGGACGGGCAGAGAAGGCATTTACTTGAATAGGAATAAGCGTTTACGTTGATAATGCAAACCAATGCCAAGCGGCTTACCTCCAGGCTGCCCTGGGTTTCTTGGGTTCCGATGGTTTGCGGTGGAAAGCGTGACGTGCCCCACACCAAAGCCAATGGACGTCGTGGGGTCTCAGGGCTTGGGCTCCGTGTGGAAGGTCTCTTGTGGGCTGGCCTCCACTGTGCACGCCGAGCCTTGGCCCAGGAATGGCCTGGCCCGGATGGGTGCAGGTGTGCGGCCGGCGCCTTTCAAAGAGCCGAGCCCCCCGAGCCCGAGTCGGGGGCAGCGATAGGGGGGGATAGGCATAGGGTGGAGGAGGAGGAGGAGGACGAGGAGGACGAGGAGGAGGAGGAGGAGGCGGGAGGAGGAGGAGGAGGAGGAGGAGGAGGCGGAGGAGGAGGAGGAGGAGGAGGAGGAGTAGGAGGAGGGGGGGATGCGTCGACCCCCAATCGCCCATCGATCGCCGATGGGAGCCCGATGGCCCCAGCCTGCCCAGGCAGGTGCGGATTCGCCATCGGGCTTCCATGCCGATCTATCGGCGATGCATCAGGTCGATGCATTCCCCCCTATGCCAGTCCCCCCCTATCGTTGCCTTTCAGGGGCTGTGAGGGAGCTGCTGGTGGAGCACGATGCGCGTGAGGGGTGATTCAAATCGGGCCGGGGGGGCGCTACGCGAGCTCCCGTACTCCTTCTCCTCCTCCTCCTCCCCCTCCTCCTCCTCCTCCTCCTCCTCCTCCTCCTCCTCCTCCTCCTCCTCCTCCCACCCCCATCGTTGCCCCTCACCGAGTCTTGCGTGTTTTCCCGTGCAGGAGGCGGAGCGGCTCTTGAGGCACGCGCTGGAGGTGCGGGAGCGGCTCCTCGGGCCCGCCCACCTGGCCACGCTGGGCGTCTGCCACGACCTCGCCGCCGCCCTGGCGGCCATGGGCACGCCGCCGGGGGACGAG